GGGGGGGAGAGTACTCTATGATTTGTTGGGCAGGAGAGTCCTTTGTGCCCCAAGAACCCTAAGCCTTTACCACTCCATGTGCTGCTGCAATTTTGCCACCCTAGCTATTCTGGATGCATGTCTTTGTAATATGTGTGCAAAAAAAGCCAACAAAAAAAGCCTACACTTTGTGAGTTAAGTGCGACCTTGCATAGAATGTGAAGTTCAGAAGGCAAATCAACAATGTCTCGTAGGCGAGAGACATTTTCACCAATATAACGACCCTGAATGCCGCATGTCTGGTCAGAATGGACCACAAAATGAATGACTTGCAAAAGACGAGCAACCACGGTACGGGGCACACAACTTAAATTCCAAGCTCAGAAGGGTGATAGGACGCCAGTTCTTACGATCAAGGCGGTCACCCCTCTTAAAGGTCAAATTAAAAAGACCCTTACAGGAAGAACTAGGAAGAAAGCCATCCCGATACGATGAGTTGAGAACGTCAACAAGGTCAGTGCCAAGAGTATCCCAGAATGTAATGTAGAAATCAACTGACAGACCATCAGAGCCAGGTTTCGTACCTCTGGCCATGCCATTCAAGTCACGAAATACCTCATCAGCCTCAAAGAGGCCCTCACATTTTGGAACATTGGACTGGGGAACAGAACGAGATAAAAAAACTAAGCATCTCGGACTGAATTTCCACATCAATTGAATCGGCACAAAATGAATTCGAATAAAAGGACACCCAAGCATCCATAATTCCATTAAGATCAGAGACAACATTGTCATCATCTTTCAGAGCCGAAAACCAGCTTTCACCACCATGTTTCTTCTCAAGACGCACAAAATACGAAGTGGAGGATTCTCCTTCTTCAGCCCATCTTATTCTGGAACGAACCTTGGCTGCTTCTGCATCTACAAGATCTAATTTGGCCGGGCTAGCTAAGGCTGAGACATACGCGTCACGAAGATACGAAGATACGACAGCAGAAGATACGACACGAAGAAACGACACCAGAGTCAATTTTTGTGATGACTTGCTAGATTTGAAAAAGTGACCTAGCTTCAGGAGAAGCTTTCTTTTTGTACGAGCTGAAACGAACAGCTAGACCCTTAATTTTCTCTTTGCCAGCATCCCACCACTTTTGCAGAGTGCGTTCGCCAAAATAACCAGAGAGCCTGAACCTCATAAACAAAGTCCTCATCCGACAAAAGTGAAACATTAAGCTTCCATCGACCCGGCCTTCTCAGAATAGCAGTAGGGATAGACACAGCCAAAGACACTACAGAATGATCCGAAAAGGGACAGGGGACAATGACAGTACGAGACAAAAGGGGCCCAAGAAAAAGGCACACCATAAAATCGATTCTGGAGGAAACAGAGCCGTCAGGCTTGTGCCAGGTGAATGCTCGAGAGGAAGGATGACAATACCTCTAAGTATCAACGACACAATATTCCTGAAAACCGCTCTCAAAGGAACAGAAGAGTCCCTGGCAAGGTCAATAATAATAATAATAATAATAATAATAATAATAATAATAATAATAATAATAATAA